AGACATATCATAGATATTGGAACAAGAAACACCAAGAGATACATCTTCAAAAAGCCCGATACCTCCGAGTTGAGAAAGCTAGGAATTATAGTGTCAGAGGACTTTGGAAAGAGATATGGAAAAATCCTAAGCCTAGTCAGGATAGGAATGGAAGAAGGGAGAGTTGAGAAAGCTAGGAACTATGGTGTCAGAGGAATTTGGAAAGAAATATGGAAAAATCCTAAGCCTAGTCAGGATAGGAATGGAAGAAGGGATTCTCAGTACTTTGGTTCAATTCTATGATCCATTGTACCATTGCTTCACTTTTCCCGACTATCAGTTGATGCCGAATTTGGAAGAGTACGCCTACTATATGGGAGTTCCTGTGAAGGACCTAAAGCCTTATAATGGATTGGAAAAGTTACCTTCGCCAAAAGAAATTGCAGATGCCCTTCACCTTGAAGCTTCTGAAATTAAAGCCCACCGTGCAACCAAAAAAGGAGTAGCAGGTTTTCATCAAGATTTCTTAGTCAAGAAAGTTGCCTATCTTGCCAAAGAAGGGAGTATGGATGCATTTGAAGTAGTACTAGCTCTGTTAATCTATGGACTAGTGTTGTTTCCCGAGGTAGAGGAATTCGTTAATTTCCCCTTGGCTTTTGTTAAAGTCATTCCTTAGTCGCGTCCGAACTACGAACGCTCTGATTTCTCATTGGTTAATGGGAATACGTAGGCACAAGATGCAATATCTTGACGAGCACACCCCTAACATAGTCTTGCAATTTTAGAAATTAGGTAGAGTTGGTTAACTCTATGTAAGAATCATGGTGATGACTACTTACTCCCCATTCTTGAGTGTTCAATATAGATCTAGAGAGTTTTGTTAAACTCTACACAAGCATTGTTATGTTTGTTCCCGTTTGAACCTTGATCATAATCAAGAGTTCTTCATCCCTAGTGAGGTGAACTACGGTTGCTCTGATTCTATCCTAGTTAGGATACGTAGGCAGAGGATGCGATATCTTTGCGAGCAAACTTAAAAACTATCCTTAGGTCTTTACCTACAACTTTACCCAAACCCTAAACTCATTACCATAGCAAACATTTAGCAAACATAGCATACAAACAAACAAAAGGTTCCTGCAGAGTACTATAGATGTTTAGGATGTGAAACACCTACCCTAGGGCATAACCAACCCCTGATCCCTGATCTCTTAGCATTGTTGTTACATTGCGCAAAAGGGTTTTTCTTTCTTTAACCTTTCCTTCGGATAAATCAAATTCCGATTGTGAATTTAATGAATTAAGATTCAAGTTAATCAATAGCTTGGTATCAAAATTCTCATCGCAACACTCATGACTATCCATTTCGCAGAATGGGCCATCACTTTAGGGGGAGAAGGCCTTGAGGAGTCCTTGTGTATCATTGTCCATGTTATTTCATATATTGTTGATCACATTCTAGTGTTCATCTCTTCTTATGTTTGTTTAACTTATCAAGACATGAAGCTTTGTTAATCTTTAATATTTGTAATAGCACATACTTCTTTTGATCATTTGTGGTGTTATCTATTTATCCTTTTATATGTCTTCATTAACTTCATTATATGTGAACGTTTGTTAATGTTATCCTGTTGCAAATTTGGTGAATATGTTTATCTCAATATACTATGTATTTTGTTGACCTATATCTTCTTTCTTTTTGATGTTGTCAAAGGGGGAGAAGAGACCAAGCAAAAACAACAAATGACTTTACAAGACTGATTAAACATGCATATCATTTCTAGATAAATGCATAGAGCAAGGGGGAGTATGATACTACACATTGTGCTCAACTATTTTTGTACTGTTTTGCCATCATAAAAAGGGGAAGTATGTGAGGGCAAAGTGTCTCATACGTGGTTATACTTGTTTTAATGATATCAAAACATCTATAGTTAGAAAAGTGTACTTTGGACGGTATCATCGAGTCACATATGCATCCGTTATTTTTCTAGTGTCAAGCATTTGTCAAAATGTGTCTTTGTTCATATGGAAAAGCACTATATGTGTTCTATATGAGTTCGATCATGTTGGTTGAGTTAGAGATGCATTAGAAACACTTAAAAGTAGCTAAACGTATCAAAATCTTCATTTTTGCAAGTTTTAAGTCTTTGAGTCGACTCAAATCTTGCTTAGGTCGATTCATGCAGAAGTTAATTTTCATGTTTTGCTCTCAGGAGAGCTTGCATTGACCCTCCGGTCGACTCATACTGTGTGCATTTATATTTTCAAAAACGGGGATGCTTTGCGTTGACGCACGGACCTGTTCCAGTCGACGCAAGCGTTTTTCTGCATAATCCTGAATTCGAGAGAGCTCAGGTCGATCCCCCTTGTTTTAGGTCGACCGTTCACTCGTTTCTCATTAATTTGTTTGTTATGTTTACCATTCAAAGTGATTGTTATGTTGGTTATTTGGTTATAGCTTTGCATATATATTGAGTTAGCTCATTCTACCTAAAAAAAACAAGAGAAGTGAAAATATACACTGATTTGGTTCTCATCATCTTCATTCTCTTTCTTGCATTTTCTCAACAAATACACTTAATCATTTTTGTTGTGTATTCTGCATCATCGAGGTGATAACGTCCAAACATAGGATCGGTGTATCTGTTTGGGTTGAGAAATCAGTAGGTTTTTCTTAATAAAACCTTTAGGGTTTTGTCCTCCAAGAATCTTAGATTTTGGGGGTTTTGCACAAATTGTTCCTCCACAGATTCAGTCGAGCGAAGGTAATTGAAGAACGAGAGGTTCTATCAATTTAGTAGTGTTAACCGAAGGATTGTGGAAGGAAGGTTTGGGTTCGAATTGTTGGTGTTTGAAATTAGCCAGACAAGATTTGAAGACTAGAGGGTTGTTCAAAGGTGGTGCCAAAATCGGAGGTTTACTCATCACATTCGAAAGACTTGATTCATCTTAAATCAAGGGAATAGAAGGCATAGGCTCAACATCAACGTTTGTGATTGAGTGTTTGAATTATATTGCTTCTCTTGTAAAAAAAATTGCAACAGGTTATATATACAAATCTCAATTCTATTTTTAGAATTGAGGGCAGACGTACCCCGAGCGAGGACGACGGGGGAACTGTCTCAACAAATTGGTGTTCTCTCTTTTTACTATTCTCATTGCTGAGTTTTGAGTTTGTGTGCAAACATATTAGTTGAATAAAATTTTGGTGTGTGTTAGTGCTGAAACATTTTTAGAAACCTCATTACAATCTGTTTAACTGTAATCAGAAAGGCTTAGCACTTCATTCACTTATTGAATTTTGCTTGGGGTGCTTCGCACACCAAGAGTTCGACTAATTGTGTGAATACAAGCGTTTGAGCTGTTTTTCAATTTAGTTTATATTTCACAAGCATTGAAAATTGTCCAACTTTGAGTGAACAAAATCTTATTGATTTATGTTCAAACTATTGATTCAATTTCTCGTCTTTATCGGTATTCCATATAGGCGTAGCGTATATCTGATCTTTTTGGTAACAGTTCATTTAGACGATTGTAGTTCCTCGGCCACTTTTGCTTAAAACTTTTAAAAACCAAATTATATTAAGCGCCGACTCTATTTTAAATAAGTGATATATTCAACCCCACCTTTTAGATCATTGCCATTGTCTAACAGATTGCACACAAGGTGTTCGATAATTTGTTTCAATAGTATTTTTGTGTAATTTATCATTGGAAATAATGTTACTTGTTGAGTAGCTTTCAAGAGATTTAGATTAAAGCATATTGGTTGAATTGCTTATCATTATCTTCAATTGTTTTTCATATACGCATATCTGAGCTTTTCGATAGTGGTTCGGTTTAGACGAATCGATCCGAGTCTCTTCCTCTAGCAATTGTTTTTTAAAACAGTTTTTATAAAGAAATTTTTTTAGAGATCTATTCACTCCCTCTAGATAAGTCGCCTTCGTCTAACAAATAGCATACCATTTAAATTTATTGGCATTACTGTTAGGGAAAATCCTAGAAGAGTGGATTTTTAGAAACGTGTTATCTCAATTCTGAAGGATTCGTTTATCAACTTAGAAGGACAGACTGTTATCAGTGGGTGATAGGGTAAAATTGATAAATTCCATTCTTACAAATATGCCAAATATGCCTGTGTATCACCTATCTTTTTTCAAAACTCTAGTCAAAGTTCTTCATGAAATTATCAGCATCCAAAGAAATATCTTATGGCTAGGTTATGCAGAGAAGAATCATATTGCTTGGATAAGTTGAAAATATATTTGCAAGTCGAAAGAGAAGGGAATCCTTGACATCAAGGACGTGTCCATCTTTAATAGTGCTTTGTTAAGCAAATAGGTGTGGAGGTTGCGCAAGGAAGATAGTACAATATGAGCAGACATTCTTCAACAAAGGTATGGTAACTTTGTAGAGTAGATTGTGGTTTAATGTTGGCCAGCTAAAGAAGTATAAAAAGTCCATTTATTGGAGAGACTTATTGAAATTGATAGAGTCATATAAGCCAAATGAAATAATGCAACTATTAACATTCATATTTGGTGATGGCCACTACATTCCTTTATGGACTACTAGATGGTTGAGTCAATATCCTTTGTCAATGTAATTTCCTAATTTATGTATAGTTGCTTCAAACGAAGAAGCTAGTGCATGGAATCAAGGTAGTTGGGTTAATGGTAATTGGGAGTGACTTATCGATTGGTGAATTGACATAGAGAGTTCTGAGTTTTGTGTAGAGGAAAAGGAATTCCTGAAACTGTTATGTGATGTAAACCTTGCACTTAACAAACAGGATATTTAAAAGATATGAGGGGCGAACACAATTCAAAAGCTTCATGGCATTTAACCAAGCAATCATTGCAAAATAAGGTTGGAGACTCGTTACAAATTCCAATAGTTTTTGTTAGTAAGTAGTATCTCAAAGCCTCAAGAATGTATTCCCTTGAACACCTCACATCTACAATTCCGATAGCTATTTGTCACGTTGCAATGAACTAACCTCCCCCTGATTTCTTTTAACACCTCCTTCCACCGCAACCTCGCTCTCTTTGGCAGTTGAAATAAACAGATCCAACAATCAAAAGATTGTTAATTTCAGCAAAGCTTCTAGTGTTGAAATTATGACGCCATTCTGGAGCAAAAACTGTGTCTCTGCCCAGTTGTTTGAATAACACAATCACAAATCGATGAATCCCTGCTGAAGGTTTTGGGCTCTCATAAAACACTGCCTCTTTCCCTGCACAAATTTAGTCTCCATTCAGAAAAATGTCAAGTAATGCAATCTTTGCTTCAAGTTAAATATGCATAGAAATATATCATATATTCATACTTTTCTTTACAAGCTTTCAAATATATAATAAAATAAATAATAAAATCAATAATAAAATATAATTACGCCTTCATCTTTAGATGAAATAAGAAAGTAATAACAATAAATTAAACATATTAACATCATTTTTTGAACTATCCTATATATTAACATCAATTAATATTGTGTTATTACATATATAACAATATATCTACATCTATACCAATGTATTTATTATAACAATGTATATAAAAAGGCAAAACTTTCTTTTTAATGTAATTTTGTTTATTTATTTTACTCTTCATTTATTATAAATATTTCAAAAATAAAATAAATAAATAATTAGACTGTAACTGGAAGTTAATTATTTTATTTTAAAATAAAAAATAATTATGTTATCTCATATTCACACACTTAATAATTTTTTTTTATATTTGCAGTTCTTTTCACATTTTAAAACCAAAGTTAAATTAAAAAAAACAATATTTTATTATTTTACGTATGTGTGCATATTAAAAAATACACATAATAAAAGCAAAACATGAGTTTGGATATAACATAATAAATATCTTTATTTTAAATATATTTTTAATTTTTATTTTAAACATTAATTTCTCACTCCCTTTATTATGTATCTCTTGCATTCTATTACCATTTACCATTTTATAAATAATTAACTATAAAATTAAAAATTAAACAAAAAATATCCATTTTGTTTTCACTTAAAAAAGCAGATCTAAACGAGTATTTTGATAAAAAGTTGTTTAATTTTATCGTTCAATTAAACTATTTTATTATTTTAGTTATTCAATAAAATAATTAATTTTTTAATTCCTTATTCTCTCCAGATTTTATTATTTAAGCCATTTATTCATAATTTGTTTTTTTTTACACAACCAAAATGAAAAGAAAAGTGAAAAAAATTAAAAACAAAAAAATATTAAAGCAGATTGACAAACACTAATCACGCAATATTTATCAATAATTTGTTTCTATATATAAAAAAAAAATTTATAAAAAAATTTACACTATTAATTAATCACAAGATAATAGATAAACTAAATCACTATAGTCATTTTTCAAAATAGTTATTTGTACATACCAAAGCTTGCGCTTGTTGTCGCAGGAATATCCGTCACCATCCTGCAATTCCATTTAAAAGGAAGAATATTAACAAAAATATATAAGTCTAACAATTTGCTCCTCCATTTATTTGTTTAACCAAAGAAAGAAGATATATAAGTATATAACTCACCAATGCAAGTATTCCCTCAAAAATGGGTTACTAGGGCTAGGTGCATCTGCGTCCACCATAGCCTATAATAAAACTCAACCAACCAAAACTCAATACACATACCATGAAAATGCTGAACATGATTTATAGTTTGAAAAAAAAAGTGATAACTACTACTATTACTAACCAAGGTGTAGAAAGTCCTTAGATCTTCACCACCAACACTAACCCTTGGACGGTTAACCAACTGAGAGGGTTTCAAAAGACAGCCATTGCTAATTTCTTTGTTATTGATGACAACACTCAAAGATACTGAGTTTGTAAAAGGGTTCAAAACATCTCCTATCACACTTCCAACAACATGAGGATCGACCACATTCCTAGGCATTATGATATTCTTTTTCTTGATAGATAGATATATGATTCAACCGTACCTCGTTTGGTGTTTGGCAGTTTGCTTATTGTTCCTACACCTGTAAGTATATATATAAACAAAAATGATATTCTTACACCCATTTTTACACCAAATACTTACACCGTATGCACTGTTCACCGTATTTATACGGTGAACAGTGTTTTTTTATTAAAATAATATATATTTTTTAAAATATTAATTTTTTTAAAAAAAAATATTTATTTTTAAAATTTATTTTATAACACAAATATAGTATTGTGCATTAACCAACTTCAGAGTTGCATTAACCACAAAAATCTACATCATTAACCAATTATTTTACCTATAATTTATTAACCACTTTCACTGCTTCATTAACCAATAAAATACACACTATTAACCATATTCTGAAGAATTTGGCCAAGTATTTGTGAACAGTGAATTGGGTGTAAGGTGTAGAAAATGGTGTCAACATAGCAATCCTGATATATAAATTTTGTTACTTTGCTTATGCTTTTGCTTTTTGTAACATCAAATCATCAATAGGTTCTTAGGTTTGTTTTTTGTGTGCGTTGTCTAACCCTTAATAGTTGGTTTTTTAGTACGATGTTGTTTTTTCTAAGATGAACTCAATAACTAGTTGACTACCATTTTGTTTCCATTTGTTTGAACATTTTTTCCTATGGGAGTAAATCTGTTTTTTCGTGTCCCTCTAAGGATTCAATCCTTTAAATTTATAAACCAAGAGTATAGTGGTTAGGATTAAACATAGAATATGGAATAACGGTATGGATACTTTTAAAATAATAAAATTATTCAATCTCTTCTTATATTCGGATTGAGTATTGTTATGTTTGAAAGTAAAAAAAATGAATGTAGTTGAAAAATTGATGATTTTAATTTAAATAATGATTTTGATCTCCATTACGGTGGTGCGGGATGAATATGTATGATTAACATTCTGTTTAGGTCAATTTAAGATTTAAGATGTGCGTAATGAAAAATGAAGATTAAAGATTGTACCATGTTCTTCGTATGTCACTACAAAAAAAAAACAGTTATTTGCGACGTGATTTTCACATCACAAAGGTGAAAATCATGTCACAAACCTAAATTAACGTCGTAGTAAATCATGACAACTTTTTTGCCACGTGAAAATCACAACTTTGCTTTGTGATTTTCATGTCTCAAAGTTTTGCCACGTGATTTTCAAGTCATAAAATTTTGATGCGATTCTGTTGGTCAGGTTGCCATGTGAATTTCTTGACACAAATATCGGTTTTGCGTCGTGTTTTCCACGCTACTAAATTGAAAAATTATTACTTATCATTAGCGTCGTGTTTTCCATGTCGTAGACTAATCTACCATATAAGAAAAGAAAATGTTATGGATATTATTTTTTTACCCTATTCACATCTTCTGCCACCAGATCATTTTAGGGGAAATTTGAGTCTTTTGGCAAAATATCTTAACAAGCCAACCATTGCTTTATTTCTCTCATGATTTTCGATTTTTGTACACTCAACCATGTTGGAAAATTATTGTTCCTCTTCATCTCCTTTATATTGCCATTCTTTCCTTAGTCTGCAATATACAATTAACTTGATATTTTTATGTTCGCTTTTGATGTTTGTGTTCAGTTTTGATGTTTTTGATTCTGTATATGTTTTATGGTGTTTATCGTGATTCTCACTTTGTTTATGATTCTCTCTAAGTTTTTATGTTCCTCTTTATGTTGTTTTACTGTTTCGTTATTGTATTGTTTGATGATGTTTATGTGTTGAGGTTAGTTTTCAAAATAAGGTCTGTAAGTTCCATTTTGTGTTCAGGTTAGTTGTAAAAGTTCAGAATGTACCTCTGCGTTTTGAGGTTAGGTTTGGTGTTCATCTAAATCCTGATATCATTTCAAACAAATGGTTGAAGAATTTGCTTATTTGTATGATTTTTAATGTCCTTTTGTTAGACAGTTTGGTATACAACTTTAAATGCAACACCTTTACTACTTTTCAAATACCCATATGTCATAGGTATGGTTCACGTGGTCGGTTACTCTCACTCTCAGTCAGGGAGCAAGAAAGCTCAAGTTAGCTTGATTTTAAAAGACTTGAGGTATGACAATCGAATCCTATGCTTTATTTTATCTTCACCGACTTGCAAATGTTTTGTCTTCACTCTCTTTAGTTGCATATGTTTTAACTCTCTTTGCTTACAGACAGACTCAACAAGATCCTTCAAAGACAACTATCATTCTACTGCAGTATGCAAAAGTTAAGGAATAACTGATCTACTAGAGTTTACCAATAACTATTACTTCTTTTCATTGACTGATTTTTTATTTTTAAATATAACGTGATTCATTTGTCATCAACAAGCAGGAACCACTGATTCACCAAAGTTTCCTCTAGCACTGGACTCAATGTTGTGTTTGAAGTTTGCATTTAAAATTAAGTGGCAGCGACAGTGGGGAAGTTCATTTGCTGTCGAGCTCCTTCGAGATGAATAACTAATCAAGCAACTTAAAGGTCCCTCTGAAGTAGACAAGGTAAAGATTTTCTAATGGTTTTCATATTTCCATTTCATTATTTCATAGTGATGTCTGTTGTTGATTTTGTATATCATTCAACTTCCATCAATGCTAGCACACCATAAACCTTGCATGTATATCAATCTCATGCTACATCGTTTTAATCCAAGTTAGTTTGGTATAAATTTTGTATCTTACTCCAACATGGTTTATTCTGTTCTTACCAGATCAAGGAGATTATTGATAATGTTGACGTTTGTTGCGGTGAGAATAGGATATCAAACTATTAATTAGTTTGAATTGCAAATCTTTGATTCACAACCGACTTTGATTTATCCAAAGGAAAAGGTCAAAAGAAGGAAAACCTAATTTTTTCATCGTAAACAATGCGGGGAGAGACCTAGGTAAGGGGTTGGTTAAGCTTAGGGAAGGTATTAGCACCCTAAACTTCTGTAGTACTCTACAAGAACCTTTTGTTTAAAGTTTACTATTTGCTTGAAGATATATACTAAGCTAGAGGTTAAAAAGTGACAGAAAGACCTAAGGATTAGTCCTAAGTTTACTCGGCAAGACTCGCATCTTGTGCCTATGTATCCTGGGTAGGGGATGAAATCAGAGTAATCGTAGTTCCCCTTGAAAGGGAGGTTAGAAACTTCTTGACTGTGGTCAAGGTTTCAATGGGGAGTAAGAATTTCTTAAGGAAACGCTTATGTGGAGTGCGACGACTCCTATTTCTACGTTGTAAAGAGTTGAAATTAGAGTTAACTAGATGTTCCACGGCGGGAAACCCTAAAACGGAGTGCGGTGACTCCTTGACCTAATGCTAGGGTAAAGGGTATTTTCGTCCACGGCGGGACAGCTAGGCAATTAGGGTTTTGAATGTGTCAAAGGAGAGGACTATTGACTCGGCGGTCAAACTGTTAGACCTAATCCTTCGGAGGGAGGAATTAACGGTAAATAATGTAAATGACAAATTATTACAACAACGATAATTAAAATACGGGGAAATAAGGAAAGCAGTAAAAAGTGCACCGCGATGATCACTCGCGTAAATTACAGAACCCCAAAACAATGCAAGAACAATAAAAGCGACAGTTGCCTCGCATAAGTTACAAACTCCAAAAATGAAATACGAAAAGTGCGGGATTAGTAAGCTGTACAACCGAGAAACATTAGAGAAAATGACATAAGCGTTATACAAAGCTAAACGGCCAATGGGCAGGCAAAATTTAATTCGCAACTGTAATCAAGATGTTAGCCGCATTAAAAATTAACTGAAGCATTTACAAAATAAACGATGGCTCTAATTCCGGATTTTGCAAAAAAGTTTTTTTGGTTAATTACAAAGGTTCCAATTTTAATTTTGAAAAAATGTGGGTTTAGTTTAATTTTAATTTTAATAAAATGGGTTCTAATTAAAATGTTTTCAATTAATTATTAAAAATGCTTAAAACGTCTTTTTTTCAATTTTTATTTTAATTAGATTTTAATTAAAAAAATTGTAATTGTTAATGTTTTAATTAAAAAAAGATATTTTTAATGTTTTAATTAAGAAAAAGGTTGTTTTTAATGTTTTAATTAAGAAAAAGGTTGTTTGAAAATGGGTTTAATTTCAAAAAGATTTTAATTAAAAAAAAGTTTTAATCTTATATCATGGTTTAATTAAAATGGTTTTAATTAGCAATCCTAATCATACTAAATTATAAAAATACAAAATAAAATAAACTATAAAATAAATAAAAAATAAAGAAAAAAGACAGAAAAAGAATGGGATAATAAGGCGAGGGGGCCGGTCTTCTTGAAGCATTTAGTACTAGGGTTTTAAACCCTCTCCTTCTTCTTCGTAGCTGCGCGGCGGCGAAAGCCATTATCGGTGAACTGCAAGCTTTCGTTCGTTTCACTTTTCGTCCACTTGCATGTTGTTCGATCGTCTTTCTTCTTCCGTTCTTGCCGTCTTGACCGCATTCGTTCTCTTCTCCCTTCGAACCTGAAACAGAAAAAAGAGAAACCAAATTTGACTACCATTTGCTCACCGTTTGCGGTTTGAAGCGAGTTGGTGGTTCTCTGTTGATCTGCTTTTTCTTTGATGAACGACCGATGATGGACTCCTGAGGCTTTGCGGCTTGGATGTACCTTCGTGTTGACTGTTGCCTCGTCGCGTGATGACGGTTCGCGGTGGTAGTGAGGCGTCCAAGAGCTTCTCGGCCGTCGCTGGCTCGTCGGTGATGAACGGTAGCGGTTTGAAGCTTTGGCCGATGATGTTGATAGTGGGACTGAGGCTCAAAAACCTTGACGGATTTCAGAGCTGGGGCTTTTATGACGAACTTTGTCCGTCCTCTGAAGCGACCTTCCTCCTTCCTTTAGGGTTTCCATCCGTTATTTATACCGCTGCTTAAGATCCTCTTTTCATCTTCTTTTTGGGCCTGGATCGGGGGTTTCTGTTATGTTATTCACGATTTTTATGATATTG